GGAATTGCATTTGCTTAGGATCCAAATCACAGTATCAACATTTCCCTTATGAGGAGCTTTGGAATTTGAGGCCCCTGAGAAACAGGAACTACAGATACCCTGTGTGTGACCAGTTAGGAAACAACAGCTGAGGGTCCCTCAGAGATTATGCTGCAGCACAGAGATCAGCGCTGCACTGTCCCTCTGCCCTTGAGAGGACATATCCTCTGTGACCACCCAGGAGAGGACAAACATCTTCCATCAATAATACCAGCAAAGTCCCAAGGTCTCTTAGACTGTACTTTGGAAATAAGGCAGGAGTCACTAAAGTTCCATACTGGTGAAGCTGGGAGGGAAATACAAGCAGAAGATGGTCAAAACCGAGTCCTCCTTAGGGCCCTTTCCTAGCTGTCATCATTGAGAAGCTTCTTTGGCTCATCACAAAACTCCTCAGTGCAGCTGTAATTCTGCTAGTGTCCTCTGTCTGTACAAGGGCAGCAATCTTTTTGTTCTTGAGCATGAATTCTGCCTCTCAAATAGAATTACAAAATTGTGGTGTGGAGGAGAGGTGTTGGTCAGCTTCCCCTTATCTTTCCTCCCCAAACCCCTCCCTGCAGGACTGGGATGTCCTCTGTGTGTGCTGGAGATGAGGAATCTGGGAAGGAAGCACAGGCCTGGGCTGACCCAGGAGCTACCTTCCTTGTCTTAACAGTTCCTCTTTATGAAAACAGAAAATTTTAAATGAAACTATTGCACAGAGTGTAAAAATAACTTTTATTTTTAAGATATGATCACTTACCCTTTTCCAGTTTAACCAATTTGGAGGTTCTACTATCTGAGCTTCACGTATTTTCATGTTATATATTTATATTTATTGAAGGCACAATTACATATTTCCCTTCACTCCTCTCCATCACTTCCTTGACGCAAGAACAACCTGGTAAATTTCCCTGTACAAGGTTTCTTATTGTGTATGTATCTATGTATAAAGAGAACTGGCAAACACCATAATATCAATCAGAAGTGGATAAATTAATGGTGAAGTAACAGCACTGTGTAACAGTCTTTGGTAGTTAATATTAATGAAGTAAAGAAAACATTAAAAATAAAATACATATTAAGTAAAAAAATCTATAATAAAATGAAGTGAATAGGATGATACTGTTTCTTTGCAGCTTTTTAACATGAAATATGCAATTACTTGTGGATGAATAATACCACAACCCACAAAGTCCTGGGGGAATCATGTACACCAACGTAATACCCTGGTTCTGCTGTTGGATGTCAAGAAGCAAAATAGTTTAAAAAAAAGGCTTCAGGTCTACATCTGCTATTGATTGCAGTAGTGATACTTGAAGTGAGGATGATGAAGCTGTAAGTTTAATAATTTGGTAGGTACCTCACCAGTCAATATTATTTTCTGTTCTTTTCTATGCTTGAACAATCCATTAGAGACATAGAGTACTTGAGCAGGTTTGCTAAATATTTAAAAGAGTCTCAAAAATCATAACTTTTGTAATACACTTCTCTTCTTCTATAGATTTTCACCACTTGCAGAGATGCCTTTGCTTATTTTTCGTCACAAGAAATCCACTGCTCCCATAATCTGCAGCTATAATTTTATAGTTGTTTCTCTCTTTCTCTCCTGGTTTTTGTTTGCTCCAGTGACCACTGCTTCCCTAGGCAGGACACACAGATTCCCAACAGGAAATGTCACGATGTCGTCCCCAGGTGTCGAGCACTGTGCTGGCTGACTTGGGCCTGCCCATTTCTCATTGCGACAACCCCAGCATGTGTTATGAGAGCTGTGAGGACGCTGTGGCCATTGAAACCCTGGAAGGAAGCTGGGTCACTGGGAGCCTGCCCTTAAAGGGGGCATTTGGATTCCATTCCTTCCCTTTCCCTGATTTTGTGTTCCCTGAACCTGGCCATGCTCTCCCTCCACAAGGTACCCTTGTCACTGGCTGAAAGGAACCGGCCAAATGAGCATGAAACAACACCTCTGAAGCCAGCTGCCAAAATAAACCTTTCAGGTATGTGTTAAGGCAACAGAGAGCAGATTACCACGTACCCCAGATAATATTTTAAAATGTGCTGTTTATGTCCTCGTGCATAGGACACGCCTTCATGTTTACCACTGAAGCAGTCTCCTAAGGACTTTAGTTAAAAAGTGATGACTTTGTTTATACCTTAAAAAGAGCACTGGAATTTACAGAGTGTCATAGAATAGTGAGCCAAGCCCAGGCAAGGAAGCTGAGCAGAAAAGGTGGTGCAAACATGACCTCAGAGGTCAGGAATCAGCCACCCTGAATCCCTCACTCCTGTAGTTGGTCTTCAAGGACATGCCCCCTTGGGGTCAGATTGTTAGTGCCATTGCTGGTCTAATGAGAAGCTTTGGGTATTGATCCCCAGGGACACTGAGACTGCAGGAATTATCCTGGGACCACCTCCCACAGCCGCCCTGCCCCAGCCAGGAAGCAGCATCTGGGCGTCTTCCACAGATGAGCCTTCTTGACCATGGTCTATTGCCTCATTAGGTGAGCCTGCATTTCCTGAAGTCACACCTTCTATCCTCGATATCCAGCTGAGATGTTGAATAACAGTCCTCTTCAATCCAGCCAGGTAAGTAACGTCCCAAATTTAATACTTTGCATGTGTCATATATCTATCAAATCCATTTATTATTGAGTTCAATTTAATTATATTTTAAAATATGCCTCAAACAAAAAAAAATGTACTGATTGAAGTTTCCTTCTTATTTTTCTTCATCATCCCTAGTGGTCATTTCAACACATTAAACACTTGCCTGATATTTGCATTTATCACAGTAGGGAGGTTCTCTTTCTTTTGTCTTTCCTCAATTGCCCTGACAAATCCTTTCTTATCAAAGAATACATAGTGCTAGCTGTGATAGTCCATGACAGTGAACTATCCCATAGGCCAGCACTGTACAGGTGACAGATGGCACTCTTGATTTTAAAAGAAAAAACAATCAGCTCAATTAGAACAATAAGTGAAATATATAGACATCTAAGAAAACAGGAATATAGAAATACTTCCCTAAAATATAAACCTATAAGTGAACTATATGTGCTATGTGTCTTTGTTTTGTACATTTCTCAACATGAAACGTCCCTCAAGTTCTTTCCAGGTTCACTGAAGTGTATCTGAGTATTCTCCATATAGATTCAACGTGTTCCATGTGATGGTTGTTTATATGTATATATCACCAAATGAAAACCCCGATCAAGTGAGTTAAGGCATCCATCATGCAGTTCCAGTGGTAGAAATAGAATATCCAGCTTCTCTGTAGTTGACTGTTCCAATTCTCAGTGCATGTGGAGGAGTCTGGATGAAGTTGAGAGTGCTTGACACCGACACCCCACTAAAAGGTAAATGGTGTCTCAGAATCTTCTGCCTCTCCCTGTAGACAAAGACCATTGTACCATGGGGACACTCCTAGCAGGACCCTGACTGTCTTGTAAGTGTGTGTTTCTTATAATTGTACATTTTAGGGAAGTATTTCTATTTTCATGTGTTCTTGGATATCTATATATTTCACTTAGTCCTCTTATTGAGTTAATTGTCTTTTCTTTAAAAATTAATAATGCCACCTGTCATCTTAAGGGGAGAACTCCCTGAGATGGAGAGAATGTCACATATAGAGTTGCCCAGTTTCCCTTAGAATCCGATGCTATACAGGAGGACTTGAATTTCCATGGGGAGCTCTTATAACCTTCAAGCATGGAGGCAGCACTTTGATTTTTTTTCTCAGGTTCACATTAATGAATGCAGCCCATCAGCTACAAGAAATGTCATGAGTAGAGAAGAAGGCATTTTGTTATAGATTTAAGAGACATAGGGCTGGGGATGTGGCTCAGGGCTGGGGATGTGGCTCAAGGGCAGGGGATGTAGCGCAAGGGCTGGGGAAGTGGCTCAAGCGGTAACGCGCTCACCTGGCATGCGTGGGGCGCTGGGTTTGATCCTCAGCACCACATAAAAATAAAATAAAGATATTGTGTCCAACGGAAACTGAAAAATAAATATTTAAAAATTCTCTCTTTCTCTCTCTCTCTCGCTCTCTCTCTCTCTCTCTTCTCGCTCTCTCTCTCTTTTAAAAAAATAGACATGAATTTTTGAGTCTGGGTTTTGCTGTGCTAGTCAGGCTGGCCTCTGAGCTGTAATCCTCCTGCCCTAGCCTGTCCAGTAGCTGGGATCACAAGATGTAGCACGGCAGCTGGCTGAGATGGACACACTTTGAAGGCAAGGAAAAGACAAGAAGCTTTGGTCAGGAAGAAAATATTACGATTATAAAGGAAAGTTATGAGATCTGAGTGGTCATTTCACAGTGCTGGTTCTGTACTGTCCAGAGGTATTGAGAGATCTTGGTCTAGAATGAACTCAGCATTTAATTGGAGGTCAAACCCAGTCTGGGCTAAGCACTCACTGTGAATCCCACATCCATGACATAACCTTACCTTTCCTAGGTGCCCTCATGAGTATACAGTAAGAACTAATCCATCTGTAATTGAAAAAGACTTCCAGGTTATTTTGAACCAAGCCAAGGTTAGGGAACCCTAACTTTGGAAGACAGATTTCTAAGTCACATTCATGACTTGGTAAAGGCAGAGGGTGATTCCGACTGAATAACATGTCTTTTGACCTTTTTTCCATCTAAGCACTTAGCACAGCACGTGAAACAGAGTTTGTGTTCACTAAAAATGTTTTACATAAAGGGAGTGGAGACAGAGGAGGAGTGAGTGGAGGACTGGGGAAGAGAGGAAAACATCAGAATACTCGCTGGATTCCAGAACCGGACACAAGAAAGGTTTTGTGTATAATGAACGGGTTCTCAACACTCTGCACACATCCCAGCCATCCAGGGGGCTTGCTGAAGCACAGACCACTGGTCCTTTAGCCCAGAGTTTCTCTCATTCTATCTTTAAGTCAAATGAGACTGCAGCTATCCCAACACTTTATGATCTTTTCACCTCATTCTTTGCATCAGAATCTTCAGCAACATGGAATCCAGAAACCACACAGCTATTTCAGAATTCCTTCTCCTGGGACTGACAGAGGACCCAGCCCTGCAGCCCCTCATCTTCAGCCTGTTCCTTTCCATGTACCTGGTTACCATCCTGGGGAACCTGCTCATCATCCTGGCTGTCAGCTCTGACCCCCACCTCCACACCCCCATGTACTTCTTCCTCTGCAGTCTGTCTTTCAATGACATCTGTTTAAGTACAAGCACCATCCCCAAGATGCTGTCAGATATCCACACCCAGCACCAGAGTATCACCTACACAGCCTGCCTCTCCCAGACCTGCTTTGTCATAGTTTTTGCTGTCTTGGAAAATTTTCTCCTTGCAGTGATGGCCTATGACCGCTATGTGGCCATTTGCCACCCCCTGGCTTATACAACCATAATGAAACCCACCCTCTGTGCCCTGCTGCTGCTAATATCTCTGTCCATTAGCACTGTGGACGCCGTGTTCAACACACTGATGATTCTACGGCTGTCCTTCTGCACAGACCTGGAGATCCCCAACTTCTTCTGTGAACTTCCTCAGATCATCAGCCTGGCCTGTTCTGACACTCTCATTGATGACAACCTGATATACGTTGAAACTTGCATATTTGGTGGCTTTCCTCTTTCCGGGATCATTTTCTCTTATGTTAACATTGTGTCCTCTGTCTTGAGGATGCCATCATCAGGAGGAAAACACAAAGCCTTTTCCACCTGTGGGTCTCACCTGTCAGTAGTCTCCTTGTTCTATGGGACAGCTTTTGGGGTGTACATTAGCTCTGTAGTGACTGACTCCCCCAGGAAGACTGCAGTGGCTTCTGTGATGTACACTGTGGTCCCTTCGATGCTGAACCCTTTTATCTACAGTCTGAGGAACAGGGACATGAAAGAGGCCTTGAGGAAGCTCATCAGTAGAGTAGCTTCTCTTTTGTGATTAGTTATTTGCTTTATACTTAGGTTTCTAAAGTGGCAGGATTCCTAGGGAGCCATCAATGCTTGATATTCTGGCCTAACATTTGTCTAAGATCATGAAATAATGTAATATCTAGGTACATTTTAGCTTGACCTGAAACCTGATTTTGCCTTTTGTCTAAGTTTTTGGGTTGAACCCATGATTTCCATTGCTGAAACACAATTTCTTCCCTGGGTTTCACAGAAGTAGAGACTGAAGGAGGGGTACTAGTTTTAGCAGATTTTGTTCTGGTTCACTCTTAGAAATCTAGGTGAAGGTTAAATGGGTCAGGAAGATATTTAAGCAAATTCATGGTGAGAAAACCTAATAGTTTACAGGTAATTGTTTGATTGAAGCCATGAGAATTTCCTCTGCGTATTACCCCTGCTGTCTTTCTGAGTGATGGGCTTTCATAACCTCCGAAGTAAAGAGAAAGAAAAATTCTTCAGAGTTTAAAACAGTGCCCACCACACTCATATTCATTGTCTACAAACTTGCATAAGTAGACAATATCAGTTTTTTAAAATGATGGTGAGATAGTTGAGTCTCATCTTTGAAGGTGTGTTCAGTGCTACTAAGACAAAAAAGTCTATAACTAACATGCTGTAACAATGAAGAGAGTTAGTTACTTTTCTTGCAAGGACTTCCAAAGTAGGAAATGTACAGAGCAGAATAGGGCTTGCATCTGTCCTCCATGGGTGGCCTCCTCCTGGGACTAGTTGCCTTCTAAGACACCAGGTGGTAGCAGCAAATGCAGGTGTTGTTCCTGGACTTCATTCTTGCTCCTTGAGAAACCATTTATTTCATCCAATTCTCACTCTATCTTTCCATACTATTCACCAGCAACATGGAACCCACAAACCACACACCTGTTTCAGAATTCCTTCTCCTGGACTGACAGATAGCCCAGCACTGCAGCCCCTCATCTTCAGCCTGTTCCTGTCCATGTACCTGGTCACCATCCTGGGAAACCTGCTCATCATCCTGGCCATCAGCTCTGACTCTCACCTCCACACCACCATGTACTTCTTCCTCTCCAACCTGTCCTTCAATGACATCTCCTTAAGCACAACCATCACCCCCAAGACGCTGGTGAACATCCTGAGACAGGATTCGAGCATCTCCTACGCAGGCTGCCTCTCCCAGGTTGTCTTTGTCATTCTTTCTGCATACTGGGAAATTTTCTTCTTGCAGTGATGGCCTATGAACACTATGTGGCCATTTGTACCTTGAGGTACACAGTCATCGTGAAGCCCTGCCGCTGTGTCCTCCTGGTTCTGGTCTCCCTGTTTGTTGGTAGTGTGGATGCCCTCCTTCATACTCTGCTGTTGCTGTGGCTGTCCTGCAGATAACCAGAAGTCCCCCACTTCTTCTATGAATTGGCTCAGATCATTGAGGTCTCCAGTTCTGACACCTTCACTGATAACCTCATAATACTTATTGCAGTGTGTGTATTTGCTGGTGTTCCTCTCTCTGGGATAATTTCTCCTATGTTCATATAGTGTCCTCTGTCTAGAGAATATCATCATCAGAAGGAAAGCATAAAGCCTGTGGGTATCACCTGCCAGTTGTCCCCTTGTTCTATGGGACAGGTGGGGGCATGCCCATTAGCTCTGCAGAGACTGACTCACCCAGGAAGACTGCAGTGGCCTCAGTGATGGACTCTGGTCCCTCCAATGCTGAACCCCTTCATTTGCAGCCTGAGGGACAGGGACATTAAGGAAGCCTTGAGGAATCTCATGGGTAGGACAGCTTCTCTCCAGTGACGTGTCATTTGCTTTGGATTTAAGTTTCTAGAATATGAAAAAGTGTCAAAATTCCTTCTGAGCCAGAAAGCCTTCCAGATCCATCACAATTTTTTTCTAAAAGGTTGAGACAAAATAATGTCCATGTGTACAACTTGTCTTGAAACCTGACTTTTCTTTTTATCTTTCTCTGTGATAGTGACACTTGATTTCAATTCTTTCAACATAGTTTCTTTCCTTGAGTTTCACAGAAGCAGAGCCAGTGAGCCTGGTTCCTGCTTTAGGAAATTGAGTTCTGGTGTACTCTTAGAAAAAGGCAAGTTGGAGAAGGTGAACAGGGGGAAACCATCCCATCAACATTGTGTTCACAGGTAGGGTGCAGCTTTCCCCTGGTCCTGTGGTGGTGAGGACATGCTAGATAAGAGTGTTTCCCCTGGGACTCCACTTTGATTCTGCACAGTCCTGTGGTGTTAGATAAATGATGAAATCTCTAACGTCCAGCTCATTGCATTGGTTTGGGGTTCTATTTTAGTGAGCATTTATGAATAAATCTCAGAAAAGGAGCATTGTATAAGTTGGACAGAACAGGGAAAGGTTTGTGTAAGTTCAAGTTCAGACGTGGAGACTATATTTAGCCTAATTCCATGGTTAGAGCTGTGTGTCTTGCATCTCAGAGGTAGACAAACTGTGAACACTGTGTCAAATGAGCTGAAATGTCCTGTGTGACATAGATATAAATGAATAATTCCCTGGAAAGCTGTATCCATATAAGGTCACGTTAGCATTCACTCCTCTCTATTATTGATAAAATTCACGTAACTAGTTACCTGAGTGGCTTGAGATGGTTCCGTGATATTGGAACCATCTCAAGACATTATGAAACACAGTTCTCAAGGAAAAGGATCTCTAATTCTTACTGACAGAAGGAAGAGAACCAATGTTCATTACAAGGATTCAAAAATGAGGTGCATAGTTCTTGGGATTAGGGCATCACCGATTCTTATATGAGGTAGCCTCTTCCAAGGACCTATTCTCCTAAGAGTTCTCAGGTGGTTGCAGCAGATGCAGGTGTTTTGCCTGCACATATGATGCCAGAGACAGTCAACTGAGTGTCCTCTCCTTGCTCTATCTATGGTCCACCTCTCCATTGAGACACATAGCAGACAGCTGTGTCATGAGTTGAATTGAGGGGCTGGGATGATATTCTATATCTGAATCACCCTCCCTTTTTAATATGAGCAGATATGATAAGATGGTGAATATTGTTCAATTTTCAAGAGGACTTTTGCCTAGGATGATCTTATTCCCAACTACCTGGGTGGGCTGAACTGTAATTGCATAACGTCTTAGAATACACACAGAAGTAAGGACAGAAAGTTTATTAATGCAAGCAGTTTTTGATTGCCATATTTATATATTTTTCTTTTAGGATAGTATTTTGGAGGACCCCAATGAATATTTACCACCACTTAATAAATGCCTGTCCAATTTGTTATATGAATTTGCTTGGTTTTGACCTTGACGTGGTTTTAAGGACATGACTGAGTTCTGGGTCCTCGTTTTCATTTCATCACTGAGCATCTGAGAGTCAGTCCTATTGTTGGGTTAGCCGATGCTGGCTCATTTTCAGTCCTGTTTCACATGATGTAGGGTAACAACAAAACACAGGGTGTCTTTCTGATCTTGATAAACTTTGCGTAGTTATTTTCTGTTATTGTGAATAAAGATGACGGTATTTTCTGCTTCATGATTTCTGGAGGAAATGTAAGGTTGTTTCAATCTTGTGGTGGGTGCCTTGGCTATGAGGGTATCAATGTCCTCTTTTGTGTAGTTCCATTGAACTGACCTGCTCACTAGATGATTTTCTGATGTTCCGAATCATCACAATTAATTTTCATTTACATAACCTGATGGTGGGAAATAATGTTTTGCTAATTGATATTTCTCTTTTAATGAAGTGGTGTCCTTCCCACATATTATATAAGTCACTTCCTTTTCTTCTTTTCAGAAATGGGTGTTTGCAATATTTCCATTGAGGTGTTTGTCTTTTTTTAAAAATGTATAACAGCTCTTTATTTATTTGGAAATTCAATCCTTTATAATAATGTCCAAGTCATTAAAGGACATGTTAACACAAGAAACTATATTAAACCTGAACACCAGCGCATTTACTAAACACTATAAAGCTGATAAAACATAAGCCAAACACACCAAAAGTGAATTGTCATAAATACAGCTGTTATTTTTATTTCAGTGGCATCAAACCTACTGGGTTTAATTAGAATTTGAACTGACATAGAAATCCACATTTCTTTTTATCTCCAATTCAGCAAAAAATAATGGCTCCTTCATGGGTCACTATTTTTCTGGTCTGTCTCATCTGACCAAGTTTTTGTATCTCTCCCTAAACTAGTAACTTATGTCTTCATTAATGAAACAGATTGACAGCTAAAATCAAGTTGCTTGGGTTACCAATCACCAAATCCTCCTTTCATGAACCATATGCATATTACATACTTATTCCATGTTGATTACATGGAATATTTTAGAAACAGCTAAATTTAAAAAAAATGATAAACTTTTGCTAAATCATACCTAGAATCATCTCTTTCTTTGGGGAAGGTATTCTCTGTATTATCATGTTTTTATACAGGAAATAGGGAGATTTCATTAAAATGAAGTTTATATGACTTTTTCCTCACACGGTTTGTTTCTAATATTGCTTCTTAGGATAAAACAACCTTCAAAGGCAGCTAGCCTGAGATACGATGAATTCAGTAGAGAGGAAGGGCGTTTCCCTGTGGGATGGGCTGTAAAGTTAGGTAAAGGAGAAGGAAAAGGTGGCCTAATCATGTTAACTCAGCTCAGAGCAAAGCCAGTGCCAGACTGAGAAAGGAGAGGAGTCTGACAGAGTAGACATCTCCTCCGTTGTCATTGTCCTGATTAAGAGGACATGACTCGACTCGTTGCACATGAGTTCCTGCTGAAGTAGCCGTGTTGACGGGATGCTAGAGATGCCCTCCACTGTGACCTTCAGCCAGACACCCAGGGGACTGGTCTCAGTGTCCTCCGCCTTCCCTTACAGGGCTCCTCTTCCTCTTCCTCATCCAGCAGCTGCACAAGCAATCTGGAAACTTGGGATGAGAACATCGTGTGTCTCTTACCCTAAGACGCAGCCTAAAACAATCTGCACCTTTTTTCTTCTCTTTTTTTCAACTCTCTGCATATATCATCTTTCCTCTAATTCCTGTGTTTTGGGAAAAAAAACAACAACACATGCAATACTGCACATTAATGACAGTGATTTAATCATAGAGCTAAAAGTCGAGACCATCTTATTAAAATATGTGTCGATACCTGAGATTTCAGGAAGCACATTCTCTGCTCCTGAATGTGGCTCCTATTTTGATGCTGCCTCTAGCTATACACCACCTCTGTGGATGGGGAATTGAAGACCTTGATGACCAGGGGAGTCTCTGTGGCTGTTCTCAGGTGGACATTTTCAGAAGGCTCATAATGGAATCCAGCTGGCACTTCAGTGTCCTATCATAGTACTGATGCTCAGAGGTCTCCTGATGTGATGGTAGATGGCACATATTCCAAATTCTCATATCCTGAGTTCAAATGTTCCAGAATGTCTTTGTACAGATCCCTGAGAGGGCAGTGGTGAGGCACACTGTTAGACCTGGAGTGGGTTCAATACCAACATTTCTGATAAATGCCCAGGTGATACCACAATTACTGTGGGCCAAGGAGTTGTCTGTATTATTGTTATGTCACCCACACTTTACCCAGGATTCCTTAGCACCACGAAACCCAGAAACCAAAGAACCATTTCAGAATTCCTTCTCCTGGGACTGACAGATGACCCAGCATTGCAGCTCCTCCTCCTCAGCCTGTTCCTGTCCATGTACCTGGTCACCATCTTGGGGAACCTGCTCATCATCCTGGCTGTCAACTCTGACTCCCACCCCCACGGCTCCATATATTTTTTTCATTGACATCAGCTTAATCGTGGCATATTTCCAAAGAGCATTGTAAAAATTGAAATACGGGATGAGAATATCACATATGCAAAAACTGTCTCCCAGGCCTGCTTAGTCTTGATCATTGGTGGTTTAGGAAATTGTCTCTTTGCAGTGATGACCTGGGACCACTATGTGGCCATTTGTCAGTCTGGAGATAGAGGATCCTCAAGAACCCTGCCCGTGAGCCCCACTGGCTCTGCTCTCTCTGTCCCTTGGCACTGTGGATGCCCTCCTCCACACTCTGGTGGTGCTGTGGCTGTCCTGTACAGGCCTGGAGATCCCCTGTTTCCACTGTGAACTTGCTCAGGTGATTAAACTCATCTGTTCCGAGATACTTCTCTCTTTGCCCCTGGGATCATTTCTCAAAAACTTGAATTGTCTGCTCTTTTTTGAGAATGCCATCAGCTGGCAGAAAGTGCAAATCCTTTTCCCCTGTGGGTCTCACCTGTCTGTTGTATCCTTGTTATGGGACAGGTTTTGGGATGTGCATTAGCTCTGCAGTGACTGACTTCTCCAGGGGAACTATAGTGTCCCCTGTGATCTACACTCTATTCTATCAAGGGCTGAACCGCTTAATCTACAACCTGAGGAACTGGGACATGAAGAAAGCCCTGAAGAAAGTAATTGTGAACGTCTAGAGCGTTCAGGTCCCTGGGTAAGGGTCACGAAATAACCAGGACACAGGGGATGCAGAGCCAAGGCAGCAAATGCAACTGCATGCTGAAGTTTATTTGCAAGTTCCTTTTATACACTTCTTCTAACAAAGCAAGCAATTCTTCAATAACACTTTACCCACATTGTCCAAATATCATGCCTCAGCGGATACACAGAGCTAGATTCAAATTGTTCCTGTTTGTTTGATAAGTATCCTCCTAAAGTTCTTTGTAGACATTATCTACTCCTCTGAGGATGCATTTGTTTCTTCAGAATGTACTGTTCCCAGGATAAGTATGCAGGAAGCTTCTTCCTCTTGGCCAAACCATGCAGAACTTGTGACTTGCGATAAGGGGAAGAGAACTTTTCCTCCTCCTAGCTGAGGTTTGCCTCAGCTGACCTAAATCACAGCCACAGCTCTTACAAAATGTCAGGCCTGAGGGAGCTAAACTCTGCACATTTAAACCCCAACAAGTAATTAATAAGATAATGTGTTTTTTTTTTAGTGATTGTCATAATATATAAAGCAGGTGTCTAGAATGCATCCATATGCCCATTTAGGGCTGTCCTAAAACTTTTTAATATGTTTTTATGAGAAAACATACTTCCTGATAAATAGTTTACTTTTGGAGCAGGTGTTTGGTGTAAAAGAGAGCAGCATGATCAAGGGGAAACCGGCAGTATAAAAAAAAAACTCAAAGAAGAAATACAAATGGCCATCAAATGTGTGAAAAAATGTCCAGCTCCTTAGCAATCAGAAAATGCAAATGAATACTGTACTGAAATTTCAGCTCACTCCAGTTCAAACAGCAATTATCTAGAAATCAAATAATTAAAAATGCTCATGAGAATTTATAATGAGAGGAGCACAAATACAGTTTTGGTGTGACTTTACATAAGTACAATCAAGATGGAAAGAAAGGACTGTGTTTGTGGCTCAGTGGTAGAGTGCTCACTTAGCACATGTGAGGCGCTGGGTTCAATCCTCAGCACCACATAGGAATAAATAAGTAAAATAAAGGTATTTTGTCCAACTACAACTAAAAAATATTTTTAAAATGATGGAAAGAAATATGAAAATTTCTCAAAACACCAGAAATCTATTATTGGTTAAAAATAAGAATCTCAATGGAAATATCATAGACAATTTCTTTCACAAAAAGGGAAAATAAATGATCCATAATATTTTAAACCACTATCAATCTCATAAGAGAAATGGGAATTAGTTAAATGCCATTATACACCCATTAGATTGGCAGGCCAAAGGCTATGTTCAGGGGATGATGTGGAACCCAGAAATGTCTAATATAATGTATATTGATTTCACCACTTAGGAAAACTCTTTGGAAGTTCCCCAAACTGAAAAGCTACTTTGTGATATCCACTAATTATACTCAAAGTATAAAACTGTTTTGAATTCCTTCAGAGCACATGGAAGAGAACACTAAAACAGTTATTATAATAGCAGAAAAATAGCTACCAGATGTCATCAACGTCAGAAAGTCTCTTTATTGTAAGCCCATCACACATAATGTAAAATTACAGAGATTGGCCCTAACAAGTAACTGCTAAATGAAATGATTGATTTTTGATCAAGGATGAGAATGACAAGATGTGGAATTCATCCACTAAGTCTGACTTTTGACAAGGTCAAATGGAAGAACATTTGTGGCATAAATACTGTCATTGATAAATTTCTGAAATGTCACCATCAATGTCAAACCAGCAATGTCATCTAATTGCTCAAATTTTACAGATATTGATTCTGAGTGTGGTAGATGGTTGGGAAGGATGTGGCTTGGTAGTGAGGGTTCAGTATTTATTCATAGGACATGAACGCCCACCATGTGCCTCGATCTAGAATGCAATTCTAGTGGCTCTACTCACATGATCTGGTAGAAGTTTTGTCTAAATATGACCACAACTCTTTAAATACTTTCTTTGTGTTCTTTCTATAATTTTCCTTCTTAGAGATTACCACAAAGAATTGCTAAAACAGAGTCTCTGCTCTAGGATTAGATTGTGCGGCACCCGACCAAAGAAATTATGCTTGAAGAATTGAAGTTTTATCAGCAGGACAAGGCATAGATATGAGTCAAGTAAAATGCAGCTGGTCATCGTGTTAGTCATTGTATTTATTTTATATTTTATTTTTGCAGTGCTGGGCTCCAACCAAGGGTCTCACACAGGCTCAGCAACTGCTCCAACACTAGGCCACATACCCACCCTGTTTAGGCATTTACAAAAAGGTAGGGGTAGAAAAGTCAGGTGTTCTGCTCACCAGGAATCTGGTAGCTCTGGTTTACTCCAGTGCAAAACAAATGATCCATCACAGAAGAGAAGTGACCCCACCCAGGAGCTTCCTCAAGGCCCCCTTCATGTCCCTGTTCCTCAGGCTGTAGATAAAGGGGTTCAGCATCTGAGGGACCACAGAGTACATCACTGAGGCCACTGCAGCTTTTCTCTGTGAGTCAGTCACTGCAGAGCTAATGTACACCCCAAAAATTGTCCCATAGAATAAGCAGACAACAGACAGGTGAGAGCCACAGGTGGAAAAGGCTTTATACACTCCTCCTGGTGATGGCATTCTCAAGACAGAGGACACAATGTGAAGGTAAGAGAAGATGATTCCAGAGAGGGGAACACCAGCAAATATCCCGGCTGTGACATATATCAGGAGGTTATCGATAAGGGTGTCAGAACAGGCCAGGGTGATGACCTGATCAAGTTCACAGAAGAAGTGGGGGATCTCCAGGTCTGAGCAGAAGGACAGCCTCAGCACCATCAGACTGTGCAGCAGGGCGTCCACCGTGCTGATGGACAAGGAGACCAGAACCAGCAGGACACACAGGTGGGGGTTCATGATGGCCGTGTACCTGAGGGGATGGCAGATGGCTGCGTAACGGTCATAAGCCATTGCTGCAAGGAGAAAGTTCTCCGATCCAGCAAAGATCAGGACAAAGCAGACCTGGGTGAGGAAGCCTGTGTAACTGATGGTCTTGCTCTTTCTCTGGATGTTCACCAGCATCTGGGGGATCGTGGTTGTGCTGATGCAGATGTCGGCCAAGGACAGGTTGGAGAGGAAGAAGTACATGGGGGTGTGGAGGTGGGGGTCAGAGCTGACGGCCAGGATGATAAGCAGGTTCCCCAGGATGGTGACCAGGTACATGGACAGGAACAGGCTAAAGATGAGGGGCTGCAGGGCTGGGTCATCTGTCAGTCCCAGGAGAAGGAATTCTGAGGAAATGGACATGTTTCTGGCTTTCATATTGTTGAATAATCTGACAGATAAGATACAGTTAAAAATAATAACATGAATGGACGGTGGCAGCAGCATCAGTTGGGAAGGAGTTAAAAATGTAAAGATTAAGCTCCACTCCAGAGTTATGGGTGATAAATTCTGGGGATGAGGACCAACCCTCCAGATGGTTTTGATATAAGCTGAACTTTGAGAACCAGTTCATTAAAAACAAACACTTCATCACCTGTATCATGAGCTCTCACGAGTATCCAAATAGTTCCCCCTTCTCCTTTCTCATTTGCTCCCTTCTGCTCAGCCTTCCTTTCCCCTGGAATCCCTTTATACAAGCCACTCTGGATGAGTACCAATTCTTTCTCATGGATTGTGCTCAGTGTTGAGAATAAAGAAAAGGATAAGGCTTTCAGACAGAATTGCCCATGCCTTCAAATAAACAAAAAGATGATAATGACTTCATTAGCTCCGTCTACTTGATCTGTGGTTCACAAAGTCTGGAGTCTCTCAAAATCATCTGAAGACCTTGCCAGATCTACTCATGAATACTCCTAGGTGAGGTGAGGCTGTGTCTTGGATTTGTGACACCCATGAGTGCTTGCAAGGACTGGGACAAACTCAGAATGTCTCCCTGAGGAGCTAAATCTTGACCAGGCTCTGCCAATGACTCTGGGTGGCACGAAGCAGCATTCCTGATGATCATTCCAACCTCACAAATTACATTTGTCCTTTTAATATCTACTTCCTGAGCAAAGCGTAAAGACATCCCTGGCCTTCAAGGGTTTTTGACTTCTCCCTGATGAAATTAGTGGGTGGCATGGATCCAGGTGGACACAAGGAAATGTTGCCTCTAAGCTTGGAGCTCAGAAGACTGACCCGTGGAGCGGTGAGTCATTCTCCTCTAGCATTAATTCTAAGAGGAGCTGGAGAACTCCATCCATGGGATTCTGTGTCATCCCAAAGGAATTCTTCCCTGAAGGTAATAGGAACTTAGGATTTTTAAAATAGATTTTTAAAATGACAGAAAGACTGATGTGCACAAACTACTGTCAATGGAAATAAAAAACGATTCTCTGTTCTTCAGAAAACAGAGACCTCATAACACAGAATTATCACGTTTATGAGATACATATAATTAGGGTGCTACTAGGAGTGTCCCTTTAGAATAGTGGTCTCTCTACAGGGTAAAACAAGGTTGTCAATGACAGAGATTTTTATTAGATGTAATATGGGCTCCGACATTCTAATCTATGCTCCAGAACACACTTTGTGAAGGGGAAACATCTTCACTGTATGAGAAGTCCTGGGTGTCCTCCTTGTTCAATGGGAATTGCATGAGGCCATGATAATTAGTTGGATCGTGCTAATCATTTTGCAGTACATGTGTATATGGGATCCCCACATTGTACATCTGAATATATGTTTTTATTAAATTATGCTTCAAAAAGCTGAAAAAATTGGGGGATGATGATAAATGAACATAACAAAAGCTGTCATCTCAGTGTACAGCATGTGGGAGCCTAATACATTTCCTATTGGGCTATTTTTTTCTGTCATAAATATTTATTCCTGACACCTCCAATTCCTCAGAAAAAGCAAGGCGTAGGGTCAGATGGGGGAAAAAGTAAGAAAACATAATTAATATGATAAATGTGCATGTCAGGGAAGCATTTATTTGCAGAACTCCCCTCTGGGAATGCTGGTCATGGAGAAAAGTGAGTAAAGAAACATCAATAATTCCAATATACTTTTGGCAGAGTTATGTCGAGAAACATGAAATTGAGTTAAGAAATAAATGAATTACATGTATGAATCTCACCAAATCTTGTGTCCAGTGTGTTAACCAAGGGACTGCATGTTACCTGGTTGGGTTCTAGAGGAACCATGTTCAACGCCTCATCTGTGTATTGGTGGTGGAAGGTACATACCAAAGAAGTGCAGACAGACGGACTGGGTCAACAGGTCCTGGTCAGGAAGGGGGTTCTGGGAGTGTTGCTTCTCCACTGGGCAGGGCTGTGGAGTGGGGTGGCCACAAGCCGACTCTATGCAGTCTCCACACCCCTGGGGCTCAATATGCAAGCTCCTTGTTAAACTAGCAATTTCACTACCATTCTGATCCCTGGGGTGCATATCCTTGAAGACCAAAGAAACAGAAGGGAGGCTTTTAGGCTGGCTTGTCCCCTGGCCCCAGAAGCCAGGTGGAGATCACCCGGTTCTCTCCACTGATTCTCCCTCCCTCCATTTATTGTAGTCTGTGAACACAACACAAAGCATTTTCTAATAAATTGGAAACTTCTGCTTTAGCTTTAAAGAAGTGTCTCTATCTATTATGAAATCAAGGAGCCTGATTTACTTTTAGTGTGAAATATACCTCATACAGAGGGTATAAATAACACGACTACAAATATAGCTAAGAGGTTTTAAAATAAAAATCAAAGTTTCTCTTCTTGTCATTGATGATACCTGAGTCTTAATTTCTTTTCCTCAAGGCCTTTTTTGTGTTGTCAATCGTGCGTTATAGTTAGTTACACAACATACGGGGGTTTGTGTTGACAAGTCACGCACACATGGCTTACGATTTGCTCCACTTGGGTCCCTGGTACTTCTTTCCCTCCCTCCTCTCTGCTCCTCTTCTACTTCCTCTACTTTACTCATCTTTCCCTCTCTTTATTGATAGTTTTTGAGCTTTATAGATACACATAAAGTATACAACCAGAGACATGAAAAGTTGTGCTGTGTATGTGTAATAAGAATTGTAATACGTTCTGCTGGCATTCATTTTTAAAAAAATCAATTTTAAAAGATATCCATAAGGTGAAGCTCACTGTGATATATTCCTATTGCACATAGTATAATTTGGTCCATGTCATTCTGAAGCCCCTGCTTTCTCTCTCCCTCCTCCTCCATCTCCATCACCTCCCTCTGCTTCACTGGTCCCTCTTCTATTTTCTTGGGGTTCCCCCACCTTTTTCTTTACTTTGCTCTAGCTCCCCCACATTAGAGTAAACATTCCACCCTTGACCTTCTCAGTCTGGCTGATCTCACTTAGCATGATGTTCTCGGGTTCCATCCGTTGACCAGCAAGTGTCATAATTTCATTCTTCTTTGTGTGGAGTCCAACTCCCCTGTGTATATGTACCACACTTTCTTTATCTGTTCATCTGTTGAGGGGCACTAGCACATTCTCATCTATTTCTTTAATCATCGCTGTGTCATCACGGTTCACTTTTCTTCACATAAGGAAGCTGTGAACTGAGATTACGGTCCTTCAATTTAAAATTGAATTGAGGTGTTAATTCAAATACAAACTCAGCAAAAGTCAGCAGTAGGCAGATGCGTCCATACACTCAGTAGATTTGGCTGGATCTCAAGCATGCTCTACAGGGAAGAGACGGAGTTCCATGTTAGTGTTCATTTAAAACCTTTCATATTTCAGGACAGCAATATTTCCCTATCCTTATCAACATGATTTATCACTTGTTTCCTGTTTCTACATGAATTTAACATTTTAAAAATGCATTATTTTAGTCAGGTGCTATGATGCACACCTGTAATCCTGGTGGTTTGGGAGGCTGAGGCAGGAGGATTGCAAGTTTAAATACAGTCTCAGCCACTTAGCGAGGGATGGTGAGTAGAGAGATCTCCTTTGAGGAGTAGTGATACAAAGAGAGGAGAGACTACAGCTAGAGCAGGGTGAGAGTGTAAAATCACTTCCTCTTATTTTTTAGAGGAAGTTCATATGCATTTGGAGTAAGGATGTCAGGCTTCACTGATCTCTGAGAAGTACTAGATTAGGAAAACTGAAGCGTCACTGAAAACTTTCACCTGAATTGAGACACAGGTACACTCAGCTCTCAAGGTCTCCAGTTCTCTGGCCTCATAGGTCCTATCCACCAAGGGGCAGCGTCCAGACAGCACCCACACTCTGGGTCAGAGGACCTGCTTCCAAAACCTTAGGACTCATGACTACTATTTTGGTGAGACATTATTTTCAGTAATTTGTTGAAGATCAAATCTCTATGAGTTCAGGTGACAGGTTGCTCATTTTTTTTTCCAAAACAGAGGAATAAGAGGAAAGATAAATATGCAGAGAATTGAAAATCTGAAGAAATAGCCATGTTTGTAAATGCATCCTAGACCAACTCATAGGAGGTCGAACGCAGAGTCTCCCAGGACAGGAGTCCAGGCAGCTGATGCAGCTGGGAGAGGACAAGGGGGAGGAAGACTGCCCAGCACTTAGACCTCGACACAAAACAGTCCTCCAGCAGGACGTGCCTCGACACCTCCATAAACTTCACCTCCAGGAACTTGAAATAGCTCATCGGCACCAGCTGCTGAGCCAGGTAGTCACTTGCTGCCTGTGAGACCCTGGCTAGGTGGTATTTGGTTGAGGGATTCCTGACCTTTCCCAGCGTGGTGTTGGCTGATCCCACATCCTGTCAGGCATTCCTTCACCTCCTTCTCTTCAGGTCCATCACAAGGACCTTTCACACATGGACATGGCTTCCATCTGCATGGATCTAGTCTTCTGTCCCCAAATATTGCTGCAGCTCCACCTAACACACAACCTCAGGAAAACTATTGCCTTTCATCTCCAAAATAAACTATAGAAGATAGTTTCTATAATTATGTACAGTAATATAGACAGCTGTAGGTACAAGTAAAGAGTGTCTATTTACAGATATTAATATATGCACATATTTATAACTATAATTTATATTTATTAATATAAATAATTAATGCAAGAAATAAATATGAGTGATAATTCTGTGAATATGTCATTAAAATCCAACTTTTTAATAAAGGCAAATTCCAGTGTAACTCACTGAAAATTTTTTATTGATACTTTTCAGTCATATTTAACTTTAGGATACATTTTTACAGAATTACACAAACATGGAGTATAATTTTCTCTAATTCAGTTCCCGACATTCCCCCCTTCCCCCACCTTCCCCTCTACTCCCCTTCCTCTTCTCCACTGATTTTTTGTAAGTTATTTAGAGTTCTTTTTAAAATTAATGTCTTGTGGATAAACT